GTGTGTGACTTTACTCCTTGACCACATCCTATAGTAGCTGATAGAAAAATACATACTTGTGTGTTTTCTTGTTTGATGCTAACAATGATAGGTTACAACACGTACTGATATGAGACATTAATGATGCATGAGCCACGCACTATTGCTGCTACACCTCCTCCCGCAGGTCAATCTATTCTTTCTTCCCCGTCTACTTATGATGGTATTGGTGCTGATGAGTACATTGAGTGGAAAACTAAAATGGATAATTTTTTTTGCACAAAGTTATATGTGCGAATGGAGGAAAATTAAAAATACAACTAGTGTTTTGAGACAATCTGCATCGATTTGGTGGGAGTCTTTAAGTTTTTCAGATAAACCTCACACATGGAATGATATGAAAGATCTTATGAGAGAAAATTTTGTTAATCCATCTCTTGTAATTAATTCAAATGATGAGGTGCATAAACTATATCAATCTCTTGTTATTCCTCCTGCTATGTCTAACCTTTTGCAGGACAATATACAAAAGAGCGAGGATGACGTGGCAAGCATAAGTTGCTCGCAGCCTCATGTGAAAATTCAAAACCATCAACTATTACTCCTGCTAAACATCAGAGCAAAGGTAATGCCCATGATGCTAAACTCATGGAAGGTGAGAGTTCTCTAGATGTGCTGAATTTTTCCACCAATCATGTTATATGTGTGCTGAAATCGAACACTTGTGCTGAAAATAGACTTGTTATTCATAATGCTAGTGAAGTTGATGAGCTGAAATTGTTGTCTTCTTTAAATATTTTGGGTTACATTGAATTTGATGTTCCGTATAATTTTAGTTCTTTAGATGAGAAACATTATGCATATGCTGATTTGCCATGGTTCTCTAGGCATACATATCATGTTTTTGACAAATATAACAACCAAGGACAATTTTTGATAGAACGAGTTTACATTTGTACAAATCCGAATTCTCCTTTTGTTGTGCAAAGTAATGATCAACTAGAGGACAGTAAAATCAACACTGTTCTTATGCTATATTCCTCTAGGTTTGTTAGTACTAATCTTTTGTATGATAGTATTGGCAAAGATCGTGCATATTTCAATCGAGCAGACTACATGTCTGTAGGACAAGACAAGCTACAAACCTGGACATGTGGTCATATTCTTTCTCACAACATTGTCCATTTCCATTATTTTGGAAACCTCGTTTGTCCTCATGTTGTGCAGGATCGACTTCAAGCAAAATTGACGCCGTGGACGGTTTTTAATCAAGAAAGGGAGGATAATAAGGACATGAGCTCCATGCATACGACCATGCTTGGAGATAGAGGACGAGGAGATCAGCGAGGGTGTCCTAACCGAGAAGAAGGCCCAAAGTTCATCCGGTTCGAGTCACCAAGGTGGAGGCCCAAATCAAGTTCGAGCCCCATCTTGGGTTCCAGGACCAGTCTGTCATAAAACTAGTCACACGGGCGCGTCCGGGCTCCGTTTTCGACGATCCACATATGGATGGAAAGCTAATTAGATACGTAAGCCAATGCAAGTGGTCTCACATCAAAATCCCTTCGGAATCAACAGGGATCGTTGAAACAAGTCAGCGTCCAAAATCTGTCAGTGTGCTGCGACACTGTCTTTTGGTCCGTTGGACCGTGTATCCTTTTAGAGCCCATTAGGGGGCACGTCCAGGGGGTGATGTCCGGGGCTCTATGATTAGCAGCCGTCGCTCTTCTTAGGGTTGGCGATTTTGTTTAGTGCTTGATTTCTTCGTAAAACAGACGTCGTTTTGCCGCAACTGTGTTGCCAAGGCCGCTCGCTGTGAACCAGGGCCCCGGTTCTTGATCTTGTTCGTCTGTGGTGATTAGTCCTTTCAAATAAAGACTTGAACTCCTTCTCATTATCATAAGCCTCATATTTATTTGCAATTTCAGATTGCGTTCATCCCGTTCTTGCTTGTGTTCTCGATTCGCTTGCAGGAAAGCCTTCTCGGCGAGGTCAATCGCGTTCACGTGGTTGATAACCAATGGAGCAGTGATGTAACGGTTGTGAGGGTACAAATCATCTTGGTTCAAAGCCAAGATCGTGAATGTTGAGTCTACACCAATCGATGCTATTGTACCTATCGGAAGATCGGGCCTTGTCTACATCACAGGCAGCCATGTAATTTTCTTTATCTTCGTACTTTTGTTCGTAGCGATCACCCGGGCTTGCATTTGGTTCAAGCAGCATACTGAAACAACATTACAATAGGCGACTATGAATGCTTCCAATGGATTGAGCCAGCTTGATCGATCTCGAGATTAACTAAATCACTATATATAGTTGCACGATGAGCACGTCGCCTATCGCTGAAAGAATATTTGCCGAGCACCCGTGACAAGTCTGGGACTATAATAAGGGTGGACAGGTTCCTCCACAAGTAGCCTAAATATAATTCACAATTTTGTTTTTTGTATAGATTATCCTATAGCACGATGCCGATCTCCGAGTGCTCCACACCAATTTTAAGGATCAACATATTGGTTAGGGCTAGACGCAAAACTCGAAGCTTGTGAGCTGGCTCGACTCAGCTTGGCTCAGCTCGTTCAAGAAACCTTACGAGCCAAGCTCAGTCCACAGCTCATTAAGAATTTCGTGCTAGCTCGAGCTGGCTCCTGAGCTCAACGAGCCAGCCACGAGAAAGCAGCCCAGTTGGAGATGGCCCAACACTCCAGAGTCTCCAAAAGCTCGAGACAGCCCAACCTTATGCATTCGGCTAGGGTTTGGAGGACACTCCCTAGTCCCCACTCTCCACTCTGTTGCACGCGCTCTTGGCCTCTCCCATGCCCGCGGATGGACATGCCGCCACCAATATAATTGACGGCCGCCGGCCGCATCTCCGCTAGCCCACCACCCGCTCGGCCACCTCACCTGCAAGCAATAGCCACGTCGCCGCCTGCTGTCTGCAATTGAGTTCGTGGCTTCGCCCTTGAGCATCGGCGTCGTGCCCTCAGCCCTCGCCCTCATCGACCACTCGACACTCGCTGCCTCACTCAACCGTCGACCCTCGCCCATCGATTTGAACCCAACACCCGGCAAGACGGCAACACCCATGGCACCAGCCAAGTCCCGTCGTGCTCGATCAGCTTATTTGCCTTGCTGCTGCCTTACTTTAATTGCAATTCTATAAGCTTGTTCATTTATTGATTCTCTAGTTGCGTTGCTTGGTTGTTGCTTCTGTGTATGTGCAGTTGTCGCTACTTGTTTCGTTTGGTTGTTCCTGAGATGCTGGTTGAATGGTTGGCTCATGAGCTAAACGAGCCAGCTCGAGCTGGCTCGCAAGCTGAGCTGAGCCTAACATTTAGCTCGTTACGTTAACGAGCCAAGCCGAGCTGGCTCGTTATCTAAATGAGCCAGACCAAGCTAAGCCGAGCCGAGCTGGCACGACATCCAGCCCTAATATTGGTCGAGTAGTCAGATGGAATAGGTACAATGCCATGGGTTGCAGTGAGCCTGTGACCGTCTAGGTGGTCGTTGTTCACCGTGTGAGCACAGTTGAAGATCACCAGTGAATCAGTGATCATAAAACTAGGTTGTCATCGATGAGCACCACGCCATGGCGCCACCTTTGACCACAAACATTGAATTGTTATCGACAGGAGTGTTATGACTGCCCATGCAATGGTTGGGTTATGTGTCAACAAAACCTACTAACTTTTCATAGACCTGAAGATAATTTTATTTTAATAAAATAGATTATTACACTAAAAATATACTATAACGTGTCTAGCCGCGCTAGGCGCTATCTGCGCAGGTCGCTTTGCTGGTTTGTCTATAGTGCAACGCGAGTTACTTTCAATATCTAGAAAACAGAGAACTTGATGAAACTTTCTTAAAGTTGTACGGGCATCAACTTTGCCCGTAAATGAAAACGGTTTTTGCCTCCATATAGATTATGTTTGGGCTCTTTATTCCATCCGGCGGTGACACTGACTAACCAATCCCCTACGTCGTCATTCAATATTTTGCCACTAAACCACGAGGTGCAACTCGCTCTCACTGACAACGAGTAGTGGGCCGAGGTGCAGCCGCCAGCTTAATTATATAGCACCCGCACCGCAACTTAGTGACAAATAAATTAAGTACTCCCTCCATATCTAAATATTTGTCGCCGTTGACTTTTGATCACAAGTTTGACCTTTCATCTTATGCAAATTTTTTTTGTAAGTTTCAAAAATCTTATGTATGACTCACTTCATCATTATAAGGTATTTTAAGCATGTCTTATGTTTTTGTATGTTTGCACAAAATTTTTGAACAAGACGAGCGATCAAACCATGATAAAAAGTCAACAGGGACAAATATTTAGATACGGAGGTAGTACATAAGGAAAAAAAACTAAGGTTTCTCAATCTTGGTAGTGCGTATACAGATAGAAAGCAGTTTATTTGCAAATTGTAGTAACGAACGCTAACTCGCGGCCAACAGATGAGATACTCCAGTACTGTATATATTATACTGCCACAACACACAAGCTGGGGACGCACAATTAACGAACTGCACAAGATTAAGGCCCCGTTTGGCAGGGCTTCTCCAGCGGCTTCAGGAGCCGTTTGGAGCCGTTTTCTGCCAAATGGGGTAAAATGAAACGGCTCCACCGATGAAGCCCCTAAAAACGTGCTCTCACAGAGCTTTGGGGTGGGAAGGAGCCAAAAATAGTGGCTTCTCCCGGCTCCTCCTCTAGGCCCCTAAAAACATGCTCTCACAGGGAAGCCATTTTGCCAAACGGTTTACCAAAACCGCTTCAGCTCTACCGGTGGAGCTGTTCGTGGAGCTGAAGCAAAAAAAATAGCTTCACTAGTGAAGTGAAGCCCTGCCAAACGGGGCCTAATACGGAGACAAACTAACATTTTACAGCAGACGGCACATGCTGATAACTCAATGATCGATGTGAATGGCAATAAATATAGATAAATACAGGGAATAACTAATTACCGTATTAATTAGTTACCAGGGAAATACTGCATGCATGCATCTCTCTCGTATCAATGGGCGCCCTTGAGTTTCATGAGCGCCGTTATGATACCGATAAATCCACCAAAGGCGGAGCCAATCGCGACGATGTACTTCCAGTTGTTGTAAAGAAACGCGTACAACTCGATCCACGGCCTCTTGTTCCTGTAATTCTCGATCTCTACCATGACGAGGGCATAGCAGCGTCCTTTGCGCAGGCTCTGCAGGCTGGTGAAGAAGTCGAGTGTCTTCTTGTTGTTGAGCCCTGCTCCTCCTTGCAGGATACCCTTGGTTCGCAGCTCATGCACGTCCTCCTCCCGATGCATCAACATGCACAGGAGGAGGAGGTACGAGCAGACAGCAGAGTCTTCAAATTCCTTCTTGTCATCAGAAAAATCTGGAGTCGTGCATAGCTCGAGAGCCGCCATGTTGACGAGCCAGCTTGCACGTGCATCGTTGAGAGACAGCGGCTCCATGGAGAGCTCGGCGAAGATGATCCACTTCCTGGCGAGGCCCATGTCTGGGAGCTCCGTTGTTTCGTTGGCTGAGGAAGATGCCCATTTCGGCAAGCTCGATGGCACCGGCTGAAATTGATATTGATTCCATTTTCTCTATATCTGAACGTGTCACCATGGGTTTCCTGCTTCTTTTTCCTACAGCGTAGAATCGGAGGAGGTCAAGGAGATGCGGTGCTTTATTGTAGTAGTATTGGTCCCAGTCAACACCAGGCAATACTAAGGGTACGTGCATGCAGCAGCATCAAGACAAAATTAAACTATACATGCATCAACATTGTCATAAACCGATTGGGCAGCGTCCAGCCGTCCGCAACCATAAGCAATGTAGTGCTTCTTCATCCCTGAAAGCGGAACGAATCTCCCTATGATTTTCATTATATTATACGGGATCATCATCAGTACAAAACAAGCCATGCGCTGTAAGTGGAGTCTTCCTTTCGCTCCTACATATTGTCATAAGCCTCTCTTTTGGTCTCTGACTAACCATTATATTATCATTAATAATATATGTGTTTCTCTCACGACATTAGTCCTGATCGACGTATATATATGTGCTAACTTAGCTTATAATTTCAGCTTTCCGGCCTGCCGGCTCGAGCATATGTGTGTGTCAGTGTGTGGGTACATACACAGGGAACATGGGGATCTTTGCGAGTTTCATCTGGCGAACTGCACCGTAGGATTTTTTTTTAGCGAAACTACGGCAGCTTAAGCAGCTGCCTGAACATTTTTATTGCATAAGAGTTGACAAATAATTAAAGAGAACAAAGAAAAGAAGAAGACAAAACACAAAAACACAGAGAAAGCACAAGAAAAAGGGTCTAAATTAAATATTACAACCAAGAAGGAAGTGACATCAAAGTAAGGAGGACAAGAAACAGCTACACTCAAGAACAGCGGTCTTGTCAGGCACAGAAAAGCAGCGGTAAGACCAGAGACTTAAATCGTCGGCACAATGCCGGAAAATCCTATGGTTGGTTTCGTCTGAATGCTTCAAGACCTTGGAGTTACGACATCTCTAGATATTCCACACAACACAGATGACCACCGTGGATCTTAACTTCAGTTTAGTGTTTCGAAGAGGAGGAGGTGGGTTGTCCCAGAGCTGTTCCACGAGGGTGTCTAAGCCCAGCGCCGCCCAGCAACTGCACCGTACGTTGAAGAACCAGTTGCTCATGTTTGGGCTCCTGCTGGCCCTCCTATAGAGCATGCGTTCCATCATGGACATATTTGGTACCTGTAGCCTCCGAGAGCATATATGTGCCTGACGATTACTTCCATAGTTCCATTCTACAGAGACATTCGCTGCCAGATTGTTATTATTCAACTAGACACCTATTAAATACATTCGGAGGTACAATGCAAAGGGGAGAAACCATATGGACAGGGAATACTAACAGCACCAACAATATAACAGGGAAATACTACATGCATCTCTCTCATATCAATGGGCGCCCTTGAGTCTCATGAGCGCCGTTATGATACCGATAAATCCACCAAAGGCGGAGACAACCGCGACGATGTACTTCCAGTTGTTGTAAAGAAACGCGTACACCTTGATCCACGGCCTCTTGTTCCTGTAATTCTCGATCTCTATCATGACGAGGGCATAGCAGCTTCCTGTGCGCAGGCTCTGCAGGCTGGTGAAGAAGTTGAGTGTCTTCTTGTTGTTGAGCCCTGCTCCTCCTCGCAGGATACCCTTGGTTCGCAGCTCATGCACGTCCTCCTCCCGATGCATCAACATGCACAGGAGGAGGAGGTACGAGCAGACAGCAGAGTCTTCAAATTCCGCCTTGTCATCAGAAAAATCTGGAGTCGTGCATAGCTCGAGAGCCGCCATGTTGACGAGCCAGCTTGCACGTGCATCGTTGAGAGACAGCGGCGCCATGGAGAGCTCGGCGAAGATGATCCACTTCCTGTCGATGCCCATGTCTGGGAGCTCCGTTGATTCGTTGGCTGTGAGGAAGATGCCCATTTCGGCAAGCTCGATGGCACCGGCTGAAAATGATATTGATTTCATTTTCTCTATATCTGAACGTGTCACCTTGGGATTCCTGCTTCTTTTTCCTACAGCGTAGAATCGGAGGAGGCCAAGGAGATGCGGTGCTTTATTGTAGTAGTCTTGGTCCCAAACAACAGGCAATACAGTGGCAGACCGGCCATGCGGAAAGCCATCTCGCCACATAGCAATGAACGTCGCCATTTCCTGAAAGGGCTTGGGCGTGCACATTTTCATGACGGCGTCCACCACCTGCAAGGGGATCTGGTTCTCAAGCAGCATGATGTCATGAGCGATGTCATTGTCGTTGGACTCGAAGAAATCGCACAGGTCCTGGTCGAACTTCGTGCCCGACGTCAAAAGCATGTATATCACCAAGAAGCAGGCGTCATAGAACATCATAGGTAGGAAGTCGTCCTCATAGCCGAAACCTGCCATCGCGTCCTTGTCGTAGAGGCCGCGAGCATCGATTTTCGCGGCGACGGAGACCACCTTGTCATACATGTCCCGGACCGAGAGGCCGGGATTGTCCTTGTTGACCTTTTTGTACTCCTGGATGCAGTACTGCGCAGCCACATGCTTCATCTTCTCCGCCTTCTGGAGGTGGCCTTCGGGGTGGTAGTAAGGGCCGATGGCCACGACCTTGGGCACAGTACACCATTTGCCGAGAGCTTGAATGCTTGGAGGGTACCTATGCATCTTCGTTTTCATCAATTTGGCATCATCCATGAACTCCTTCTGTCTTTCCTGGAACAGCTTCTCAGGGCTATTCATATAGGTCTCCATAGGATCTGGATCATGGTGCTGTGCGGCCGCAGCATAGTAGTTGTAGTCAACCAGTTGCTGCTGCCCTCCGCTAGAGTAGCTGCTAGCAGGGACGACATACGGTTGGAGGAGGCCAAGGAGATGCGGTGCTTTATTGTAGTAGTCTTGGTCTCAGTCAACACGAGGCAATCCAGGGACAACCCGGTCCGTAGAATCGGAGGAGGTCCTGCAGACAGCCATCTTTGCACCTGGCAATGAACATCTTCATTCTCTCCAAGGGCTCGGCCGTGCACATGTTCATGACGGCGTCCACCACCTGCAAGGGGATCTGGTTCTCAAGCAGCATGATGTCATGAGCGATGTCATCGTCATTGGACTTGAAGAAATCGTACAGCGTCGAGTCGCACGTTGCCCCCGACCTCTTAATTAAGGATGTACATCACCAAGAAGCAGGCGTCAAAGAACATCATGGGTAGGAAGCAGTCGTCGTCGCCGAGACCTGCCATCATGTCCTTGTGGTAGAGGACGCGGGCATCGCTGTCATTCGCGGCCGAGATGACGGCGCCGTACATCTCCTCGACCGAGCCGCCGGATTCCGTGATGCAGTGGCAGGCAGCCGCATGCTTCACCTGCTCTGCCTGCTTCATATGGCCTCCGCCATAATGGTGGTAAGGGCCGATGGCCACCACCCTCGGGACGGTATACAGACCATCATCATCGAGAGCTCGAATGCTTGGAGGGTACCTGTGCATCTTCTGTTTCATGAATTGGGCATCATATGCATCTTCAAACTCCTTCTTTCTTTCCTGGAACAGCTTCTTAGGGCTATTCATATAGCTCTACATTTGCTGCTCAAACGACGACAGATCCTCGTGTGTCGTCGTCGTTCCTTTCCCAGACAGATCGTGATGCTGTGCGGCCGCAGCGTAGTAGTTGTACTCAACCAGTAGCTGCGGCCCTCCGCTAGAGCTGCTGCTCGTGCAAGCAGGGACGACATACGGTTGGAGGCTGCAGGAGGAACCAAATATGTCGACGATGGACGAATACTGCAAAGCAGGGTGGCCAACGGCAGGAGCCCACACTTCTTGAGCATCATCAGCTGGTGCTTCTTCAGCGGTCCAGTTCATCGCCAGCTGAAGCTCGTAAGGTCCCGCCCATGCAGCAGTGGATGTGGCTTCCATATATGCGCTGCTAGCTCCGACCACCAAGCTGAACGCACACGCAGCAGTATGTAGCTTTCTGCAAGAAGCACTGCACAAAATTAAGGGAATGTAGGAAATGGTGAAGAGTGAAACATGCAAGAGAACGAAACTGCATGCTAGCTAGCATGTATATAATCAGAATTGAACGTAATGTACTCATGAGAGAAGCATATATTCAGCAGGGTTAGTAATAAGATATCCAAATGGAGAAGAGAAAAGAATACTGTACTCCCGGTTGGGAAACCCCTTCAGTCCCGATTTCCCAACCGGGAGCACAAATGCGGGACTAAAGAGCCCCTCCTTTAGTCCCGATTTCTCTTCCAGGACTTAGTCCTAGTTGATAATACCAACAGGGGCTAAAGAGGCCTCCTGGCCTGGCCACGTGGGCCGGCCCCTTAGTCCCGGTTGGTAAAAGGTTTTCTTTTTTTTTGTTTCTATTTTTAATTGATGATTCGTTTTGATTTTCGAATAGGTTTTCGAATACGCATTCTACGCTGCTAATAATATACGTATTCTACACAGTTATAATGTTCGAACATTTTGTACAAACTAAAATATGAAACAAACGTATATATTACATGCATATACATATATTGTATGTTATTTTATGTACATATAATATGTATATATATATTACAAATAAAGCTTGCATTGTATATTCTATCGTATCCTTAGGATAATAAATTCACTCAATCTGATTTGGATTCCATGTTTCGTTCACATCATTGTAGAACTTGCCGGCGGGGTTTAAGACCTGGTCATTAAGAAATCCTGCTATGGTCTCTTGAATTGCTTTTAGTTGGTCACGTCGTATGACTTTTTCCTTCGACCATAGAGTCTTCAATAAAAGTTAAAGAAAAAGTATTAATATATATATATATATATATATATATGTTGGTCACGTGATTACTTATATATATGAGCAATAAAAGAAATTGTGAATATATGAATATATTTATATAACGTACTTTGAGGATCTCTTCAGAGTTCTTTTTGCATACGCCATGATGAACTCGCAAACATAGTATCCGTAGTAGTTGTTCCCTTGTTCTTGCCTCAGAACCCACTTTTACGAGAAAAAAGACCCGATAAATTGAAAGCATGCATGGTGTTAATTAAATTATATATATATATATATATATATATATATATATATAGTACTTACTTTGTGTGCGATTACATCCAGTGGCGCTTTGCAATGTTTCATGTGGTGTTCCTCAATGAAACTTTTCCAAACACTGCGCCCAATAAAATAAAAAAATATATTTGGTCTTTAATAATTGTTGCAGTTAAGAGATCGGGGTATATATAGTTGCTAGAGAGACCAAATTATCCTTGGATAATATCTATCATGTTTTGGTACTCTATTTTGCTCTTTTCTTAACGAGTCTAAGATGTTCAACCGACTATTGGCCATATCGATGACCATCAATATCCGGTGATTGCTGCATATTTTTTTATACACAAATATGATCGACATTAACTAGAGTCAACATATATATATATATGGGAGATAGCTTAGCTAGTAAGCAAATAATTGAACAAATGTCCATATGATCGACATTAATTATTTAACACTCACTTGAAGTTGTAGGGTTATATAGACTCTTTCTATGTTCAAATTTCTTTCAAGGATCCACTTTCGGAGCATATGGTCCTTCAGCGAGCACTTGGGCAAGGTCCAAACCGGTATCCTCGTAAAACCGAGCCAGGTCCTCAAAATCGACGTCCAGTAAGTCTAAGTTTGAACCATATTCATTACGAATGACAAGTGGGGGGACTGATTGTTGCGATTGTTGTCCAACTTGTGCAACACCTTTCCCTGCTCTAGTCTTTTTTCTGCGCCGTCTCAAATGACTTGGTGAGAGAGCGGTCGTAATCCGATTTTGGCAGGGTCTTTTGAGATTCCCGCTTTTTCTGGTCCACCTTCTATCTTAGAAGATCTGGAGATAGGTAGAAGTATGGTTTCTTCGGGTTCTCCCTCGCTTCTCGTTGCTTTCTTACTTTTTCGAAGAAACTGCTCATATCTTTTTGTACTGCAACATTTAATTCCTTTTCACTTTTCTCGTAAGACAGTTTGTGGGGAATAATTGGATTAGAGGAGGCTTTCTTCTTTGCCGGCTGGTGGGCCAATGGCTCGTTTGTGGGGCGGATTCTTGGTCTTGAAGGGAGGCGGGGCAGCCGTTGGAGACCTCCTTGGAGGCGTTGGAGACCTCCTTGGAGGTGGCAGCGGTGGCGGCATTGCCACCTGATTGCCTGGAGCACTATGATGATCTGGAGATTGAATAATTGGACTTAGGTTGGTGGAGGCCCTGCTGTGTGAGTACAAAAAAGAATAATTAGGTATAAGAAATTGTTATTATTAATCATGCATGTCAATAGAAAATTAGTGAAAAAATTGTTTCGTTAACTTTTGTCCGCACCTATTGTCTGGCAGTTGAGGAAGCGGCGGTGGACTAGAGACCCCGGGAATAATAATGTAGCGCTTGCACCATAGTATGAATGTCTTCTCTGCTTCTCCTAAAGTCTTCTCCCCATCACCTCCTGGAATGTCAAGAGCCAGATCACTAAAACCTTTGTGAACTCTATCCACTGAGACGCTAACATATCTAGGTGGCATTATTGCCCCATGGATTCTTGGTGTCTTGGTAGGATCTGGAGGAGAAAAAACACCGAGAGCCACCATGATTGTGACATTTCCTTTTGGAATATGTAGCTCACATGATGTAAACAGTGCAGTGATGTCATCCACGGGGAAACGTAGCATTGCGTCATCTTGATTTGGCAACTCCGTGGAAGCGCAGCTGCTTTTTAATTGATTAGGGGGGCTAATATTAATGTTGATTCCTGGATCTAATGCCTGCCTTTGGGCACTCATTGCTATTTGCACTTGCTTTATGATTTCGTCCTACATTCTAGCTTGCATGTCTTTTTCGCGCTCCTGTGCTTGAAGCAACACCTCCCGTGACTCACGAACATATTCCTATAACCTGCTGATCCGCGCTGCTTCCTCATCCTTTCTTCTTTGCCGGCTTCTGTAGGTATCTCTGTCGTTAGGGAAACCATGCTCCCAAGAAATGTTATGTCCTAAACCTCTCGCTCGCCATCGTGTGTTCAAGTTAGTCCCGATGACATACGTCATTCATCCTTCTCTCCATTGGGCCCGAACGCACCAATAACTTTAGCTTGT